ATATAAATTGCGTCATCTGATAAGAGCGATACCCACATCTTCTACATTCGTTGCCTAATTTTATAGTAAAAATTTTAATTGTAGTATTAGTTATTACGGTTTCTAAAGTCAAAATTTGATGTTATTATTCTGTAAAATCAGTTATGTCTTTTAAATTGGAAATCAAGTTGTCTTTTTAATGTGAAATATTGCGACCAGTTTTTAGCATAAGTATATTACAAATGCATCCTCCTCTCTACCTACCTACTCCTCCGCCTGGACGCATTCCAACATAGACTTGAGTAGTTAAAGGACACGCGTATACGCGGATCACCGGCATATGACGGATACGATAGGATTGTATTTTTTCTACTCATATACGTGCAGATGCCAACCTTCCACGCGTTTCAACTTTCATTTCCACAACTCGAGGAACTCAATTCCTTGTCGTGGCGAAGAGCTTCTATCCACGGTTATCATTTAGCTTTCAATTATCTTATTAATTATTTGGTTATTAATATTAACAATAATAAAGGTGTTACAAGAATAAGACGTGTAACACGCATGTAGTAATCCTATTATTTTAGAATCTTGTCGATAATTTGGACGAAGCAAATTCATTCATTACCAAATACACAATATTGTTAAATATACCAAACACCAACTGCAGTCTCTAAAACAAAGAATCTATTTTTACGTATACAGTATACGCGTTAATAACATCTACAACTATTTAGAAGGTTGCTGCGTCGATGTCTTATACAGTAAATTTGAAAATATTCACAGACAGTATTTTCGACTTTCTTTAATTAACATACATGTTTGTCATCGACTATTATTATAAAAGCCATTCGCTCAAAAGAATTCCAGCCATTTCCAATATGTCCAAATACAAATTCAAGACACATCAGTTTTCAACACTAAACGACATTTACACAATGGCAATTACAAATAGGCCTCAAACGCAGATTTTCAACTATGGAGCATTCTGGTGTTCAACTCAATCCCTGACATATTCGTCTTTTGCTACAGTTTCTCCATTGTCGCATGATTTTGAAATAGATGGTAATATTGTTGTAGTTTACATTAGACCGTTATTATAACAAACACTAAAATAATGCTGTTGATTTATTATGTCAAGTTACCAAACAGACACAAATTTCTAGTTATTACTCGTACGATGATAGTTCGCGGGATTTGTCTATCAATATGACAACACGATTTACCCATAACTCCTCCCCTACATATCTCACCAACCTCTCCACAAACAGGGCGTAAACAAATCCTGCCCTCGCACAGGACGCAGTCATCGCGAAATAGGAATCAAATTCATCGCCAAAATCCAGTTCTATTAGAGTTCTGGATTTTATTTCAAATTGTCTAAGGATAAATTCGGACTATCGAGTAGAGCGATAATGCTTAAAAGATATTGAAAAGTCAATTGATCGAGACAATCTAAATCACAAATAGTTAAAAGTCAAATAGTGGCGAGTGACGAGATACTGACTAGTCAAATCGACAAATCGAAATTAAATTTTTCTTTGCTAATAAGCAAAAGGGATAAATCTTCTTGAACCAGTAAACTGCAAAGTTTATTCAAAATTATGAGTCACTAAATTATAATACGAGAGATGATATTAATACTGTAAATTGTAATCAATTGTTATCTTGATACCTGCAACTGAGGCAAATCTCCAGTAGGTAAGAGGTACTAGAATATTTACTCTTCTTCTCAAGACGTGATAAAGGTGTTATGATAGATAGAGTTCCATATTAATATATCGTTGTTGTTATTGTCAGAAGAATAAGTAGCCTTGTTCAACTTGATAACAAGGTTGCGAATATCATTATAAAGTGTAATTGCATCTGGACGCTTGTCAGGATCAGCATCACAACAATGCTGAGCAAGTTTCTTGTATTCCTCTGGTGCTGAATCAGGCATCGGTGGTCGTAGTCCATCCAAAATATCGCATACTAAATCACTATCGAACTGTCTATCTCGAAAAGGTGGTTCGCCGGTGGCAATCAAATACATGATAATTCCAAAAGAATATATGTCTGATTTCTGAATAAATTTGCGAGTATGGAAGACTTCCGGTGCAGTAACGGGTGAAACAACTTGAACCGTTGGTTTCGACTCGTGTGAATTCACTGATCGTGAGAGGCCAAGATCGCATGTGAATGATCTGCCATCATGAAAAACTATGTTTCCGCCATGAAGATTACAATGCACCAATCCGATGCGATGAATATTCTTCAGATATTCCGCAATATCCATCAAACGCTGTAATTTCGACATCCACGTCATCTCGTTTATGTTTTGATCCAAATAAGACGAAAGGTTACCCTCATCAGGATATTTCATAACAATTATGTACCCTTTTGTTATTGGGTCTTGTGCAGTTCCATAAATGCCAGCACCAAAATGCGAACACCTGACATGATTTCTGAACTATTAAAAGTAAAAATAAATATGGAGTCAGGTCAAATATCAGTTTATTTAATACCATCAAAGAATGCTTACCTCGTTAATAAACAATTCCGGCGTCTTATCAAAATACTTGAAACGTTTGAGGACAACAGTTCGTGGATTGCCAAGAAGTTCTTCATATAGCCTATATTTGGCAGTATAGACTGTTCCATAACCACTGGATCCAATCTCCCTAAGTCAGCATAATGCATAAATGTGTATCCACACGTTTGTATAAATCTGTCCAATAGTGAATGCATGTCATGGTAGAACACCAAATAATATTGTTTAGTAGATGGCTCTTGAGTGATACCAATAGTCCAAATATTATCTTGTGTTAATATCTCCGGATGTTCTTTTGTCAGCTGTTTGAGTAAATAAATGTGCTTGTTACAATAATATTTACTAAAACACGCAATGCCGCTTAAAATTAATTATACAATTTGCATTGTTGAAATAATTTACCTGATAAAAATCAAACGACTGAGCATTCTGTCCGTCAACTATCCGTTTGAATATCACTCTCATCGATTCATTTGTCGTCGGTTCTAACCAATCTGCTACATGTGTGCATCCATGGCGTAATGATGCCATTTCTCGTTTGCGTCTCAATAAAGTGTATTCTATCCATTGTATATAAGCATCATATTCCCTTGTCATATTATTCCACGACTCCATAATAAATGAATCCAATGACTTGTTGCCTGTAGTCCAATCAGGAGGTGCTGGTGCTTTACAGTGATAACAAAATACATTTATCCTAGGTTCTAATTCATCTGTACATGCCAGACATAATTTCTCCCCATAACGTGTTTTCATTAGACAATACTTCTTTTCCCACAGATTGTATGTAAACCCGATAGCAACCCAAACATCTTTGGTAAGAATATTTGGATGCTCATCACATAACTGGTGGAAATAATACATTATAATTATACATTGTCAATAACTATCCAAAACAATTCAATAAACATGATGCATAATTTGTTTACATTGTCATAATATGAATCATCCGTCTCATCCGTTATTTCAAGTGGAATCATTGAAACCGCCGTTGTGTAGATTGGTAGACCATCCAAGCATAAGCCATATTCCCTCTGCTCAATACAACCAAATGGAATCCATTCCAAATAGGTTTGATTCACTGAGTTTGTTTGTAATTGAGATTTCTTAATAAACTCATCGAGTTGCCCATCCATTGGATAATTGTTTATGTCCACAAATGCACCACACAGGACTACATCGGAGTATTCCACATGCAGAGCAAAATCCGTAGAGAGAATAAAAATCGTAAAAGCGTCTGTGAGCAACCATGTAATAGCGATCATCATTCTCGGCAAAAACCCGTATTGGTTTGTTGCGATAATACAACCAGTAGGAATATCTTCTAAAGTTATTGTCATCATTTTTGTACTTGTGTGTCGGAAGTGAGTATACCCTGGCAAGTGTTGGTGTACACTCTTCGCTGTTTCCAAGGCATAGCAGCATTACCTTTACGTTATAGTGATTATCCTTATGAATAGCGTAATAGACGTTGTCAATTGGCTTGACTCTATGTCGGTAATTTTCGAGTAAGGAATCCATTCAAATCTATCATATGCATTTCCGCAGGATTGAATTAAGTAGTTAATTGCTTTATTTTGAATACCCGCGAACGGCATAGTAATGAATAAAAAGTTTTCTTAACGTATTCATCTATGCCTTCATGATCGCGTATCCTTTCAACAGAATCGATAAGTTATCCGAATGGACGCTCATAGATATCGTTTCGTTCACCCTGATAATCTCCGCCGTGTCTGGTGTTACCGAACGCTCGGACGGTTCTTTACATTCGCCAACCCGATCATAAACAACTATAGTTATCATAAACTGGTCAAGATCCGCCCTACCCATTAGTACGACATCCTCGTATACAGCTGCAATTATGGTAATGATTGGACTTTTTTGGCCTTTATTATCCTTTAGGCAAAACAATGTTTGGTGAATATGGGCAGACGATAACTGCGTTTCTGGTTGCTATATAAGTATAATAACTGTTCATAAGAAGGTGCAATAGGACTATTTTATGTTTTTCAAAATCCATCGATTAATTAGAAAAGTCTATCTTAACACATTGAAACAGTCTTTCCCGTTTAGCAGACAATTCGTTATTGTGAAATCTGGTTTATAAAGAGCCGTATCGATTATAACTATTACTATGTAGTCGTGTCAGCCTGTTTGACTCACGTATTTTATGCAGTCTTTACGTTTATGTTACGGTGTGGTGTGGACATTACATTATAATTGTAATCTGAGGGAAAAGTTATAGTGCATACCATTAATATAATACAATTCGTTGCACATGTGCAAGTGAGTGGTTAACTCTGTAACATTTGACTGCATCGAAAACAGTATACCATAAGATTTAAGCAAAGCAGTCTTCAAAATCTATATCTTATAATGAGAAAATGTAACCCTCGCGAGCTAGGCTAGGATCTCTCACGTTACACATTTAAGCATATGCCAGTTATGCAATCAATATGCATCATAAAAAAATGCAACTTATCTCATCATGTTCCGTAATCCCAAGCCCAAGAGTCTGCAAGTCTGGACTCTTCGAACCGCAAGACCAAGATTCTCGCTACCTACTTCCAGATACTTTCAAACGGCTGTTAGGCACACATATCGTAACATTTACCCGAAATTAAAGTCGCGTATCGATGCTGCTGTTTCCTCTAGTCGATATGCGATCCTACGCCGTCATGCCTCGACGACGGAAACATCCTCCAATGATGTCTTGCGACCATCCAGGAAATTTGGTCGGATAATGCTCGTTAGTGCTGTGACTATTATTGGCGGGATAACCCTGGCGGTCCTAGACTACAAGTACACCGAAAATGAGGCTGTTGCTCACGAGCGAAGGGAATTAGAGGCTTCGCTTCCGACCGGAGGACCAAAGAATTTGCCAATTGCTTTGCATATGACTGACGAGAAGGATTACGAAACGGACAAACCGCGATTGGTTATTCTTGGAACTGGGTGGGGGGTGAGTTTGGCTTTTTTGTTGTTCCTTGAAGAGCAGGCGGAAATGGAGGCGGGAGTTTGAAGGCAGAAGATTGTAAGCTTACTAGAAAATTATAATTGCGTTTCAATTGATGTTTTCTGTGTCTGATTTTTTTCATCAGGCTGTGTCAGTCCTAAAAGAATTGGAGAAAGATCAGTATCACGTAACGATAATATCGCCAATGTGAGTGTTCCGTCTCTTTCTTTTTTTATTTCCCATTCTTCCTTCCTTATTAATAATAACTTTAAATTTTATCAGAAACTACTTTCTATTCACGCCACTACTTCCATCAGCTACAGTCGGGACTCTCGAGACAAGGTAAAGTATTTAATGCATACTTTTTGCGATGAATTCGTTTTCACCCTTTAATAAATCAATGTTGCATATAGGTCACTTCTTGAGCCGATTAGAAGTATAGCACGTAGAATTAATGGCCATTTTCTTGAGGCCAAGGCTGTCGATGTTTGTTTTGATGAGAAGTTGATCGAAGTCAAGTCGTTTGACGGCGGCGACGGATCTGCATTCTATGTACCTTACGACAAGGTGATTTGAAAACACTAGACTTAACAATAACAACAGCAACAGATGGATTATCATTCCTATTATTAATATTCGAGCTACTATTTGTAATCTAGTTGGTAATTGCTGTTGGATCTCAATCAATTACTCATGGCGTCCAAGGAATCGAACATTGTCATTTTCTAAAGACAATTAACGATGCTCGTGCAATACGGAAGAAGATTATGGATAATTTTGAAAAGGCTTCACTGCCAACCACATCGGCATCAGATAAAAAGCGATTATTGAGTTTTGTTGTTTGTGGTGGAGGTAAGTTACTGAAGATTATGCACGTTAAACAAAGTGTGTTTAAGCATATTAATTAAAACGACGTTGTTTTATTCGAATGCATAGGACCAACAGGTGAGAAATTGCTTTGTCAAGTGAATTTTTGTGGATTACTGAGCTAATGGAATTATTATGAATATAGGGGTGGAATTCGCTGCTGAATTGTACGACTTTTTAACAGAGGATGTTGTAAAATATGTAAGTTTTGTTTGTGTTGCACCCTTGATGATACTATGGCTTTTGTAAGACATAGTATATATTGTTCCTTATATAGTTCCCCCGAGTTTTACGTGACGAAGTGTCAGTGAGCATTATACAAAGTCAAGATCACATATTAAACACTTACGATGCTAAAATCAGCCACTATACAGAGGTGAGATGATTAGATCTGAATGTCTGCTAGCAACGATGCAATGCCATTACTAATTTCTGTAATGGTAAATAGAAAAAATTTGCACGTGATAATATCAATGTAATCACGAATGCTCGAGTCGAAAAAGTGGAACCCGACAAGATTCTTTACAAAATGAAGAAGGATGGTGAACTACGTGGACTTCCATTTGGATTGGTTTTATGGTCAACCGGAATTGGTATATATTTCTCTCTTATCCCGTCGCTCTAGACGTTCATAACACCGGCTTGTACCTATTTAACATTTTCGTTACTATCTCTATCGTAATATGTTCATGCTCTTCTTTCAATTCCCATCATCAAGCAATGAACCCATTAACAAAAACAATCTCAGAAAAGCTTCCGGAACAAAAGAACACGCGTGCCTTAATCACAGATCACCATTTACGCTTGAAAGGTGCTCCCATGTCTACTGTCTATGCCATTGGTGATTGTTCGACCGTGGAAAATCCCAAACTCGTGCAACAGCTGGTACAATTCTTTGTCGATGCGGATACCGACAAGAACGGATGGCTGGATTATAAAGAGTTTGACGCATTGGCGAAAAAAATAATTAGGAAATATCCACTAACAACTGCCCATTTGAAAAAGGCAGATGATTTATTCAACAAGTATGATAAAGATAAGAATGGTGAGTGATACAGTTTTCGATGATAGGGGAAGTGCGGAAGTAGCGGGTACTATGCGCCTTTTGCTTCTCCGAAGGCGAACGACAGACTGTGAAGTAGTTGGTGATTGAGCCGTTGCAAATATGCATTTATTTAGTTAACTGTTTATGACTGGACAGGGTACCTTGAAATGAGTGAGCTGAAGGAAATGTTTGAAGACATTGACAAGAGGCTTACATCTTTGCCTGCAGTAAGTATAATGAAGCTCGAAATTTGAAATATAGTTCTAGTCGGTTTTACTCTTTATGCGATATATATAGTTGCTATTGCTTATTTCATTAACTCTTTTCAATATCATAAACTTGCCCTTCGTCAATTGATAGACAGCTCAGGTAGCCCATCAACAGGGCAAATATCTCGGCAAAAAATTTAATCAACTGGTATTGGCGGAGAAGACAAAGATCGTTCCATCATACCTCAAAGAAGACACTCCCTCTCCAAACCCGGAGGATCGGCTGCCTCCCTTTGCCTATGCTCACTTGGGTTCACTCGCATACATAGGAAATGCGGCTGTAGCCGATTTTGGGATGGGGTTGACATGGATGGGCGGCTTAAGTGCAGTTTATTTATGGCGGAGCATATACTTCAGTGAGCAAGTTTCATTAAGAACGAGAGCTATGTTGGCTTTGGATTGGACCAAGGTACGATAAAAAAGAAGCGTATGTTTGGAGGGCAGGGAAATTCTAGTATCAGGTTGATTGATATGTATTTTTTCTTTTTTCGTTCTTGCAGCGATTCCTGTTCGGGAGAGACATATCAAAGTTTTAGTTGTTCATAACCGGTTTATGGGAAATGAATAAACTAGCGTTGTAAGTCGCAGAGAGCCCCCAATAGCGTGTAGAATAACAATGTACGAAGACGTACAAGTCACATTTGGGCCGGTGATCGAGACCAAACATTAACGGAGAAACGAATATATGATAGCTTTGTCGGATAAAGTCTATGTGGATATTCGACGTGGATACGCGTCATGAATGTCGTGATGTAAATAGAATTGTTCTGATCCCTCATCATGGCAACGATTGGGAGACTTGAAACTCTGGGAGAGGGTGTTCGTTTTTAATAAATGTATATACAGTGGTATTGGACTGTTTAACTTTTTTTGAATGGCCTCTTTGGACTTTTATTAATGTCAATGAGAATCCATCACGTGAACTTTTTGTCTATTCTCCAGCAGAGCTTATGCGAACTAAAGAAGACAATTTTATCTAGCCAAAGAGAATGCTTCCATTATTAAACAATTATTCGATAGTGTGGAGACAAAAATAGCGAATCTCATGTCCAGTGAAAATTTAAAAGGTAAACTTTAATGCAGATGGTTATATAGAAATTCTCAGTGAATAAAATGGCTATATGTGCATTAATTGGAGACTTGACTTTACAAAGAAATTCAAATTTGGAAGAATTAGAACTGTAATAAATAACAGAGGGCGCCAACGATGTTATTAGTAATTTATAGAACAATAAAGTTAAATTATCAAAGTTAAAAAAGGTGTCAAGAATATAGTAATGATGAACGTGTCTAGTCTTCGTGCTTTACTACATTTCAGCGGCGAGTTTCCTTTTGTCTGCATTACACCGAAGAGGACTCGTTTTTACTCAAAGGCTTTGTCAATTATAATTAGGACATTAAGGTTCTAATTTGGGAAGTAGTGACTGGAAAATGAGCTGTCACCGAAGGTCGATAATGCTGAAACAAATTTCCAAATTACGTATAAGAATGCTACGAATTAAAGTTCTTATTACCGGAAATGGTCGACATCACGGTCACGGGATCTCCATACTAATTTAGCATGTGGGAGGGTTTGATTTGCAAAACTTTAGCTTAAATATTTTCCCATACTAGCCGATATAAAGCTAGCCAATTAAAATATTCTATTAATATCTTGTATTTACAAAGTGATCGTTCGATCATTTAGTTGCATTATTAGTTGTCATAATTAATTAATAGCGTACTTATCAGATAGGCAATAAGAATATGCGTAATATTGCAGATTGGTTCATCCGATATACGCCGATTGTGCGCTCGTATTGGTAAATACAAAGAAGATTCATGTCATCAAGTGCCAGGTAAAAGACTCGAGCGATAATAGCAAGTGTATTGCCTCGAATGTGGGATATATTTTACTTGCATTCAAATTGTGTGTTCTCAGTTTATGATAAAATAATGCCTTGTGATGGTCTATTACAATCAAATTCAAGTATAAACATATTTATTACTCCCTTCTATCAAAAAAGAGGAAATGAGGATAGACGTGTATATGATCATGCATAAAATTAACTAAAATAGAATAACTGTCTTTTAGCCATCAAAGCCCATTGTCAACCGGGAAAGAAGAAAAAAGAGGATTTTACCCTCCACCAACGGAAGAGTAAAAAGAAACAAACAAACTTGTGGGACCCCGAATTATAATCAATTATATTAGTTTAAAAAGAGGCAAAGACTGCAACAATGGCCGATGCGACGAGAACGCCATAAGACACAATACTTGATGAAGTAGCTGCCGAGGCACCACCTGAACCACCACTGCCACTGCCGTCGCTGCTGCTGCCACTACTACCATCGGTAGAAGCGGCTTTAGCACCTTGAACTGTTATGGAACCACGCATTCCTGCACTGCATAAATTGTTGACGCCGTTGTAAAAGTTTATCTAGAATCGAAGGTGGGAAAGAATTCATTGATTTAGTACTTTTGATATTTGGCAATTGAAATAAAATTCAGTTTCTAAACTGTCGATTGTTGTGGGTTTCGTGCTGTTGTCGATGCCCCCCACCTCTTTGCCTATTCACGGACTACGTATATCCCGTTTTGACATTATAAATACTATATACAATATACTTACCGTTTGCTTTGCATCAGTGAGCGTGAGCTGGAATGTGTCACCTGAATTCTTTACGGTAGAGTCAATTCCACCGGGAAGTGGGATACATGATGTACTGTTACTAGCTTCGACGACTGAGTTTCTTCCAGATTGAAAACTGAATTGGATCGTATCGCCTACTTTGGCGTTAGTGGTAGCAGGGTCAAACTTGTTTGCTCCGCCAGGTGCTACGTTTATTGTAAAAGTATCAGCCAAAACCGAGCAAACAACAAATGCAAGGAAGAAGAGTCCGACGAGTGAGCGGTTCATTGTTTAGAAAAGGTGTGCCGAGAGTGAAGAGTTTTTAGATGAGTGGCGAGATAAATTAGTGACTTGTAAAGTCTAGGCCGGTAGACAGCTGGCTGTTCTCGTTTTGGAAGGTGGAGGGAGGCTGGAGAGGGAAGTGTGTCGAGTGCGAGGGTTGGATAGGTTGGCGGGAAGGGGAGTTTTTATAAAAGAATGTATATGGTGGCAGAGAAGGGGGTGTGAGGGGTAGCAGGGAAAAAAACGTGAGACGATATTCTTGTTGCAGTGAAATTTATTTAGAATGGGCTTTGCCAACTGCGGAGTTTTCTGTGTCAACAAATTACAGGATATAAATATCACCCTATACCATAACAAGTGCTTAATAAAACGGGCAATTACAGTTCTGATTCAGTTAGTGTCACCTAATCCTTCAGGATAATAAGCTATATATATACACACCCTGAACATTTTGAAACAGGCCTTGTCCAATAGCAAGCATGTCGATTTTTAGATCCAGTTTTCGTAAAATACTTTAGGTAACACCGATACATAATCACAATCGGAAGACATTCGACAAGTTTCTATTTTTATAGTCCTGTTTGTCACACATGTATAAAATGACAACTTGTTAAATGAATTGCCATTCAAGCATTATAATTAGATCCAAAGTTGTCCTTTACCCCTCTCACTGCCAAGGAAAATAACGTGTAAACCATACATGCAAATATTGCACAGATACGGCTCGTATTACCAGGTTGGAATATTTAAAAGCTGTCCGATTGAGGAAATCTTGATTAATTAGTTAATTAATACAAGATATCAAATATATTTGTTCATTTCCCTTTTTAACGAATAAGGGAATTATGATTGTATGATGCGCCGGGGAAAAGAATTAGCAGTAGGTTAACGGTAAAGGAAAGGCAAGAGCTATTTTACGCATAGTAATAGTAATGGACGGGAACATCCGGGTTGTCATTTCAATGTCAGATGACGGATTCGCATCACAATAGTTATTAAACAATTTATCTCAGCATCACCTGATGGTCGCTAGCCACTAGCTTGCGAGTTACGGTTTAATCACAAAACGCCTACATTCTTTTTAGAATATCCAAGGTTTCTAAAGTTAGCGTAAACTTAAAAACTAAACTCAATATGATAGTTGATGGGCAATACTATAATAATATATCACGGAGCACTTGTAACGGAAAGGATTATGCGGGTAGTTAGTGCGACCATGAATTGAATTGAAAAAATATACATGCTCACTGTCTTTTAATGCTTGAACAATGGACAACATAAAACGTCAAGGAGACAACGATAGTTTGTGCGACTAATAAAGGAACGCGAATCAAATGTATTCATTGTTGGACACAAACCACTAAAAGAAGATCACAAACTATCACTATTACTAATGTTACACCAATATTTCGCTTACTGACATTAAAGATTCATATGATTTAATTCCTTCCGCGAATATCTTTCTGTCAAGGTAATATAGTTAACGGATTATGGTGTAGTATACGCCCATAGTATACGCCATTTTGCTTATCATCTGTAGATTTATTTGCCTGCTTCTTGCAATTTAAACGGCGTTCACGAAATAAACGTTATTCATAGTGACAGCTTCCTCTTCACAGTGATGTCCAAGTCGTCATACAATACTTCACGCATCAAGATTTTCATATTACGACACATTTCAGTCCTGGTTAATTGAACAGAGTCATACAAACAAGCATGGACAAACATGAGATTGTAAATGATGGAATAAAACTAAAGGCTTATAATAATTGCAGCAATCTTCTTGTTATTCCGGCATTTGTAGCTGGGGACATACACAGCGCCAGCAGTAAAACCTCTTTATACTGGCCATTGTAACAGTCTATTAATTATACTCGTTCGGTTGACACAATCGATTGGTATAAAAAAAATAAAATTTATTGCATTTAATAATAGTGCAACAAACTTTCATTTTAATCGGAGCCGTTATAGGAATTTAATTAGTGGATATACTATAAAAAACTATAATTAAAAAAACCCGTTCCTGAAATTAAAGTTCTTATTTCGGCGTATCAATGCATATAAAAGAGACTAAGGGATAAAAAAAAACCTCCCCATACTTGCTCTTACCCATTACCGTTTGTCAATTTAAGTTAATTAAGAATTCTTCTTATTCTAACAGGAAAATTGCAGAAATACAGTATTTGCCAGTACAATTGACGACATGCTTTATGATAAAAGAGGAATAGCTAGCTATAGAGAAAGTGAACTAAAAAAAAACTTTGTTAACACACAGTAAACGAGACAACAGCATTGAAGATTTACTTAGCTTACGTTTACGGCTTAAGAAAAGTAAAAAGTCGTAGGCAAAAAATTCCCAAATTATTTTGTGAAAGATCGAGAGTTGAATAAAACAAAGTAGTTGTAGAAATGAATTGATTAAATCACGTGGTACCTGACTATTCTATATACCGCTTTTTCACTGCACATATTAAGCGGATCTCTCATTACACTTAAAAGCACGCGTTAGTCAACTGTAAAGCGGCCACATATTGGAATTATGGAATATTGCACAATCAATGTGGACAAACACACGGCTTTCAAATAATAATCATGCGTTCTTATAATAGGTTTATTATAAGTACGTGTGGTAATAATCATAGCACTCCTGCAAGTAAAAGATAAAATTACACACTTACGTACACATAATCGTCATGGAAGAACGATGAGCACAGCAAAAATGCAATTGTACAGATGTAATAATGTCCTGACACCGTGAAATTTATATACTAATAGCATATGTGCATCAATATTGGGTTACCAGAGGTTGGGTTGCAACATTTGACAAATATAATTGTTGCACTTGATACTGATAACGCCTCATAATCAATAATTGTTAAATGCGTTTTCCACGCACCACGCGAGAGATCACATGCTTAATCAGATGAATTTGCACCAGGTGCTTGCACCTTGACTCTCATCAAATGTTCAGTATTGGAATTGAATTATTCAGCGTCTTTGCTTGTTAATTCAAAATTAAACTTGCAATTTCAATATTCATGTAAAGTCGTCTTCTGAATTACATTAGAAGCGGGAAGAAACCAATAATTTCAGTACAAGTAGTCTATTAAAATTGTTATGCTTGATAAGTATACATGCGATCACCAAAAGGCAGTGCGTTTTCTTAAAGAGAGTAATACTATTTTTAGGCCTTCCTGCTTTAGCGGGTCGTATAAATATTGAATTAACGCTATTTCCACTGACTGGTGCAACGAAGCATAATTCGTTATTTTTACGAGAGGGTGTTTAGCAAAATTTTGTACCACTTGAAGTATTTGGAATAATTTATGGTCCCCATAATTTGTTGTTTCCTTTACTTTGCAAACCGTAATTATGGCAGATAAACGTAAAGAATCGCCGATAACTTCGACCCAACTCGTCAAGAAGCAAAAACAGGATGCTCTTGTACCAGCTCCATCGGGTAGTTCTGAGGGGGGAGCATTAATACAGAGTGTTTGTATTTGATACTATTTATTCCTGTTTTTTGCATTCCGCTCATACCGTTCAGATCGCCTCAACAGAGATCTTCTGTCACGATGTAGGTAAAACGTACATCTGGTCTTCAGGCACCGATAATGTTACTCACTGGGCACCAGGTGTGAGGTTGTTGTCTTTTGATAGTTTGAGACATGTCATGGATTTCGGGAAGGGGACTGTCGTTGATAGGCGATGCTTATTTGAATATTTTTAGGGAGAAGTTTTCTCGGTGAGATTTGATCCTTCGGGGCAGCATGTTGCATCTGGATCTTTCGACAGAAATATTTGTATGTGTTATATACTGCAATTTTTCTTATAGTTTATTTGCACTGCAATTTCGATTAGTGAGACATTCATTTTCTTGACCTGCTAAATACTTTATTTATCATTGACGTTGCTAGTCCTATGGAACACATATGGTGATTGTAAGAATTATGGCTTGCTGAAGGGTCACAGTGGTGCAATCATGGAACTGCATTGGTCGCGAGATTCCAGGTAATTTTTCGTATTTTATCGTTCTAGTACCCCGTCTTTGTCCAACCTATCACGCAACCCTTTGATTATCTTTGTATTGGAATAAACATACTGACAGTTCTCTCGTTATTCCTTCCACATGTCTGTTTATCCCCCCGCTATATTCTCAAATACATCCATAGTAAGATCTTCTCTTGTGCTACCGACAAAACACTAGGAGTATGGGACGTGACTACAGGTGAACGTATAAAGAGATTCAAGGGCCATCAATCGTTTGTAAACAGTATGTCTTCTGCAAGGCGAGGAAATGAGATTCTTGTTAGTGGAAGCGATGATGGGATGATAAAGGTGAGCTCTTTATAGGTGGATACAGTGCATGTGTATGCGTTTCAACCTCAATGTACTTTATATGAACCCTTTTTAAATTTGCATTATAAGCTATGGGATCTTCGTCAGAAAGAGGCGGTGGATACGTTTACTCAAAAGTACCAAATCACAGCTACTTGTTTTAGCGAAGCTGGAGATCTTGTATTTGCTGGATCTATAGATAATGACATTAAGGTAAAAAAATATATTCTCGGTAAATTTTGTACTTGACAATAACAGTCCATAGTCACACGCTGCTCATTACATCCATAGGCATGGGATCTTCGGAAGAAAGACGTGGTATACGTATTGAAAGGTCATCTAGATACAATATCGGGACTACGACTGAGTCCTGACGGTTCTTACCTGTTATCTAACGGGATGGACAATGCAGGTAAGCTCATTTGTCAACTGCCGGAAACAGTGTCCCAAATTATAGAGATGTGCTAATATTATTTACTTCATTTTTAGTCAGAATGTGGGATGTAAAGCCATTTGCACTGGCCAATCGTCTCGTAAAAGTTTTTGAAGGTAGGGATCGCGAAACTCGCTTCAACTATCATATTCTTGTTTAACAAATAATTAACATCATTTCCCCATTTATATTATAAGGTGCACCACATGGGTTTGAAAAGAATCTTATAAAGCCAGCATGGTCTTCAGACGGATCTCAGATTGCATGTGGTAGTGCTGATAGATCTGTAGTTATCTGGGAAGTCAGCTCCCGAAAGATACTGTATAAATTACCGGGCCATAAGGGGTGTGTTAACGACATTGACTTTCATCCGAAAGAACCTATTAGTAAGTAGAGAGAAGCCGAGTTTGAGAATTTGAACGCTGCGGGATGAGAAAATATGTTTGCTAATGAACGTGTCTTTGGTTCCATGTAGTTGCTTCCGGAAGCACCGACCGTCAGATATTTCTGGGTGAAATTAATCCATCTTTATGAATGGTAGAGTACGTGTCTGGCGAAACGATAGCTTGGAAGGATGGAATGAAGACTCGTTACTATTTGGCCTGCTTTCGCATAGTCGATTATGGTCATAGAATAACACGTTCAACTGGACAAAGTAAATTTACTTTAATTGGAAACCTCATTATACAACGAATCCCTCTTTATCGGGAATAATACAATAAAAGGAAAGCGTTAGGGGACTAACTGAAAGTTTCGCAACTAAGTTGAGGGCTGAATAATATTATCCGTTCTGTCTGCCTATGGCGAGGTTTCTCATGATGCAATTTCTGCAAGTGCTGGTTTAGTGGAGATAGGTTTTCTGTTCTTCGAGTTTGTCGAACCTGTTCATAAGCAAGTTTGTCAATGGGATTCTTCATCGAATCAGTTCTGATTTGGGGAAAGAATTTACTTTAAGCAGGCAGGCTTTGTTCCCAACTTTCATTTTGCGGCTGCGCGCACCAGCTTCACTGATCAGTAAATGGAGGTTATAAGGTCGTGAAACTGCGAATCTAATGAATATATGGAGTCTAATTTCTCGATGGTGCATTTACATGTGATGATTGATAATGTCACTTGTAAAAACCAAATATTTGTTAGGCGTATAAGATTGTGTTAGCAATAATTAGGATTCGTTTCAAAAATATAGGATGTCACTTCTTGACATGAAAAAATGGTTGCACGCTTGGGCAATAATATCCACTCCCAGTTCGTCGACAGTAAAAAAAAAGATTTATTAATTCATCGTTATGACAATTTCATCACAATCGAAACCAAATGTTATAATAAAGGACACAATTTGCCTATTTACGAACGTGATTATTTAATCGCTCACTCTGGTGACCAGTGATAAATACAATTCTGTTGACACATTAAAACATTAAGAGCCAATATTGCAATAATGTATAAGGGGTGAATATTTCAGTCAAACATATACGTCACGAGAGTCGTTAGCGTTTCTGCCAGCCCTATCACTACTGTAGGTCAAATATAATAGAGTTGTTCAATATTAATATGAAGCAGTATCAATCGTCATCCGTGTAAACCAAGATCGTGGGCATTGACGCATTCCACTTGTATGCGTATTCAAATATTCTGAATTCCCCTCTTTCTGTATAATATCATTCTCCGATTCTTTGCTATCTCTTGTTCAGCGGGCTAGATCATGTACGGAATAAACCTATACCGACTACGCGCATACTCTTCCCACTCGTCCTTGAACTTCATTGCCATCTCGCGCTCCTCATATTGCACCCTCTTGGCGAAGAAATACACAGTCATTATACTCGTAGTAGCAATCACAAACACAGTTATCGTCTGCCCATATTCACCAAATATTGCTTCGCCTAAAGGATAATAAAAGCCAAAAAGTCCGGCAGTGACCATAATTGCGGCTGTATACGACGGATGTCGTACTAATGAGTAGGGCGGATCTTTGATCAGTTTATGATCGTGTTGGATGACTACTGCGAATGTAAAGAACCGTCCGAGCGTTCGGTAACACCAGATGCGGAGGAGGCCTCCAAGAAGTATCAGTGCGAAAGAAACGATATCTACGAGCGTCCATTCGGATAACTTGTCGATTCCATTGAAAGGATACGGATCGGGAGAGATCATGATCCAGGCATAGATGAGTGTGTTAAGGGTCAAACAAATCGGGACGAAAGCCGGACCATAAGTGATGAAGGCATACTGATAAATGCCTTCTCGTTTCTTAATGTCGGATGAAGAGGCTTGTGAAATCGGAGGCGTTGTAGCGAACGACGCGAGGATAGTAACGATGATGAGTGCAATTATTTTAGTAATCATTCTCGCTTTAGCGTTCCCCTTTCTGATTACAATAAAGGAATAAGTTCTCCATTCGTAACACAGCGGGGATGATTTCCCGATATGGTATGGACGTTGATTTACAGGGATCACGTTTATGTGATAGGAATGACAATTCAATCACATAGCTTTTCTGCCTGGTTTTATGGGGCAGTTACTCAGGACTCCAATCATCAGTGATGATGGATTAAACCAAATAATTTTTATCACGCTTTTAATCTTAATCTTCCGGCTAAATTTTGGCTGTCCTGATTTTTCTGCTTTTTTTTTAATTCATCCCTGAAAAAAATATATAACTGGTCCAGATATTATTCAAGAAGAAATTAGTGCTTTGATTATTTTTGTAATTTTGGAGAACAGTGCCAGTGAGTAGGAATATTTTGGGATGTGAACTCATCTATAATTCAAAATAAAGCACCCTGACTCTTCAAAACCCTAAGGCTTTTGTATTAGAGACTGTAGAGAAAAACTAATCCGTAAGAATGATAGAATAGATGAAAGAGAATAAAAGTTACGGTTTAAAATTTTTAATCAACTAAAAAAATTTCGAGTTTTAGGCTTTGAAAAGTAGGAAAGGTAGAATTTTCGGATGATCCCACAATAAATGTGATAGTTTACAAGCAACAACATTCACGATGCCTCGACCAACTAAAAGAAAAGCTGGACATAAAAGAGTTTCTCGATACAAGAGAGGGAATTTGTTAAGGATGAGCTCGTTTTAATCGATACAGAATTTGAACGAACAGAAACGGGATTGAGTGACGACTCTAAGCCGGAAAAGCTTTGGGAAAACGATGAGGTAAAGTGATTGGGGAGGTGATGTTGATTCAGAGGTAGGAACAAGATATCCGGAACAGGTTTTCATGATCTTTGGTTGGAGTGGAGACCGGATGCCAAATTAGAAAAAAGACGTCCTTATAAAGTAGGGAAAACACCGAAATCGACTTATAAATGGGGACCGAGTGGTTCGTGGACGATGGCTGCAAAGGGAACTCCAAAATTAGAAAGCTTTTTTAATCAAGAGGCCGAAGGAATGTTCAGCACGTTGAATTAGTTCATCGGATGAAGAACTTGCTTTGCCATCGGAGAACACGGTTTTAAGTTTATTGAGCAAGTCGAATATAAAGCCATTCTTCTATTGTTCCCAAATTGCATTGCAGTATTCGTTTTCGATAATAGTTCAAACCATTCTGCATTTGCACCTGATGCGTTAGTTGCGAAAAGAATGAATATTGGATCTGGTGGAAATGCACTGAAAATGCGGGATACTTTTTGGGGGTCCCAAATAATGAAAAACAAATTTTGGTATAAAGCAGATTTTGAGCGAAAGAGGATCGTGGAGATGAAATATGGTGGGAGAATGCAAACTATATCGAGATGGGAACAGTGATCCTTTACGCACAGATTTTCTGGCTCAAAGATCGGCATTGTTATAATTTTTTCAAAATTTCACTGTCTGTGAATTGAATGTTATTGGGGAGAGCCAAGCGACATGCAAGAAAGAATTGTAATTATACATGGAGCGGCGATATATGATTTGTACAGACACGAAGTTACAGGTAAATTAGCAGAATATATGCTGCTAAAAAAATATAAATCGCACAGGAAATTGTATGGGAAGAATTAAGTTCCTAACCGTGTAAATTTTTTAATTTCGTTCAATCAAAAATGCATTATTTCAAAGCATTTTATTGGATAAATGTCATATGATTCATTATGATCTGCAGAACTGTCCGAACTTGTCAAAACTATGTCGTTAGTTAAGGATATTCGAAATCAAGCAATTGACGACCTGATTCAATCCTCCTTAGGAAGTGAACATAAGCTTGAATGGATTCCTTACTCGAAAATTACCAACATAGAGTCGAGTCAAATTGACAACGTCTACCACGCTATTCGCAAGCATGATGGTGATAGAGTTTATGAAACAGAGACAATGTTGCAGTTAATTGGAAACGATGAAACTTACACGCCAACTTTTGCCAGAATATACTCACTTCCGACACACAAGCACTGTATTGATGACAATAACTTTAGAAGATATAAAACATGGCTTACATGGCGCAACAAACTAATACAGGGTTTTACCGAGAATGATGGTAACTGTTACATGGTTGCTTGTAAACGCTTTTACCACTATTATTCTCTCTATGGATTCTGCACTGTATGTGGAATACTCCGACGTAGTCCTGTGTGGTGCATTTGTGGCCATAAAGAATTATCCAGTGGATGGACTAGCAACAATAAGCAACTCGATGAGTTTATTAAAAAATCTCAATTACAAACAAACTCAGCGAATCAAGCCTATTTGGAATGGATTCCATTTGATTCTATTAAGCGGAGGGAATATGGCTTATGCTTGGATGGTCTACCAACCTACACAACGGCGGTTTCAATGATTCCACTTGAAATAACGGATGAGACGGATGATTCATATTATGACAAGGTAAACTAATTATGCATCATGTTTATTGAATTGTTTGGATAGTTATTGACTTAGTATTATGTATTTCCACCAGTTATGTGATGAGCATCCAAATATTCTTACCAAAGATGTTTGGATTGCTATCGGGTTTACATACAATCTGTGGGAAAAGAAGTATTGTCTAATAAAAAAACGGACTGAGAGTGGATTATGTCTGGCATGTACATATGAATTAGAACCTGAGATAAATGCATTCTGTTTGGAATGTAAAGCACCGAGCCCTCCTGATTGGACTATGGGAAACAGGTCATTGGATTCATTTATTATAGAATCATGGAAAAATACAAAGAATAAAGACGATGTCTACATACAATGGATAGAATACTCTTTATTGACAAATGTACAAGAGATGACATCATTACGCCATGGATGTACACATATAGCGAATTGGTTTAAACCGAGAACGAATAAATCGATGAGAGTGATACTCAAACGGATAGTTGACAGACAGAATGCTCAGTCGTTTGACTTTTATCAGGTAAATTATTTCACGCAATTAGCATTAATAACGCTGTGTTTGCGCGTTAAATCGATATAGTGTGGTAACGATCGTATTCGTTTACTCAATAGCTGACTAAAGAATATCCGGAAATATTAACTCCAGACAATATCTGGATTATTGGTGTTACTCAAGAGCCATACACCAAAGAATATTATTTGATATTCTACCATGACATGCATTCACTACTGGACAGATGTATGCGAATCAATAAAAATGTAAAGTATATGCTGCATGCTTACTTTGATGAAATTACGGAGATTGGATCTGGTGATTATGGAACAGTATATGCTGCCAAGTATGGGCTGCCTAGGACGATTTTTGCGTCAGAAACTGTTGTCCTCAAACGTTTCAAGTGTTTTGATCAGACACCGGAATTGCTTATTAACGAGGTAAGCACTCTTTGATATTATTAATTAAAGCGATATTTAATCTTGACTCTATATTTATTTTCATATACTAGCTCAGAAATCATGCCAAGTGCTATATGTGTAACCAATGGTCATTCCTTAGAATTTATGGAATCACACAAGATCCAATGACAAAAGGGTACATGATTGTTATGCAATATGCTAATAAAGGTAACCTTTCGTCTTATTTGGATCAAAGCATAAACAAGATGACGTGGAGGATGAAATTACAGTGTTTGAAGGATATTGCGAATTGTCTGAATAATATTCATCGCACGGGATTGGTGCATTGTGATCTTCATGGCGGAAACATACTTTTGCATGATTATAATGATAGATATGGGATCAGACCATTCATATGCGATTTTGGCCTCTCACGATCGGTGAATTCACGCGAGTCAAAACCAACGGTTCAAGGTGTCTTACCTTTTATTGCACCGGAAGTCTTCCATACTCGCAAATTTATTCAGAAATCAGACATATATTCTTTTGGAATTATCATGTATTTGATTGCCACAGGCGAACCACCTTTTCGAGATAGGCAGTTCGATAGTGATTTAGTATGCGATATTTTGGGTGGACTACGACCACCGATGCCTGATTCAGCACCAGAAGAATACAAGCAAATTGCTCAGCGTTGTTGTGATGCTGATCCTGACAAGCGTCCACATGCACTGATGCTTTATTGTGATATTAACAACCTTATTAATGATTCTGACAAAGATATATGGAATACTGTTTATCGTAATGATGTAAGATCATTACGAAAGAGAGAATAAATATTCTAGTACACTCTTACCTACTGGCGATTTACCTAAACCGAGAAACAGTCAGTTAGTTGCAGGTATGAAGATTACGCATTGATATACAAGTCAATTTACAACATTAGTCTATTGTATTATAATTTAGTGACTCATAAATTTGTAGTTTACTGGTTTAACTACAGTTTCTGCAAAGATTTATCTCTTAATTGGTTGCACGTTACTCCCCTATTACTATAAGATGCGATATGCAAATAAAATTGCCAACGTTTACTAAAAAACAACAACAAATTAATAAAATTGAATAGCGAGTAATGAAGCCGACTTACGGTAAGTTCTCGTTTTTATTAGTCTTTTTACTTTTGCTAATTAGTGAAGGGAAGTTGAATTTCGATTTTATAATTTGACTAGTCAATATCTCGTGACTCGCCCCTATTTAACTTTTAACTGTTTGTGTCTTGACAAGACATGTCAATTGAATTTCCGTAATCACGTACAATATTTTTCAAGTGTTATCGCTCTATTCGATTAAAATTTTTTATTTATATAATGGTACCAGGTCTAGCATGGGGAGCATGTATGAAGGTAACTAAAGTAAAATTAGAATTATTTCACGAACATCAAGGAGATATACATGACTTCTTTACAGCTATGAAAAGAGGAGGAATGTCCTTAGCTAGAAGGCATATAGCTCGAGCAAATATTCCAGAATTAGAAGGATATGATGGAAAAAAAAGCAAAAAAATGGTTACTCTACTTAGATGCCAATAATCTATATGGTTGGGCAATGTCCCAATATTTACCAACCGGAGGATTTAAATGGCTAT